CTGTGTCAGGATTCTGCCCTCTCTCCTGCTGTCTCCATGGCCCAGGGGCCTGGAGGTGCCTCACAGTGAGGGCAGAGTGGAGGTGCCATCCCTGCATCCCTCCTCTGGCCCGGGGGCAGGTGAGAGCCTCTGTGGTACCATGGCAAAGGAGCAATGGGAGAGAAGCCTCAGAAAGGAGCTGGGTGGGAGTGGGATAGGCAGCAATAGCCACCCCCAGACACTTTCAGACCATTTCAAACACAACTGTGAGCACATGTACAGTGGGGCCGTGCTGCCCTATCTGCAGTGGTGACCACAACAGCAGCCTCCAGGCCCTACCAGCTGCTTCCAGACGTATCAGGGGCTTACCCTCCTTCCCCTTTCCCCATGATGCTTCCAACCTACCACTCCCTTCCCCTACTCTACCAGACCTATAGTTGTCCCCTTTTTCTATGCTGAGGCTCGCTCAGAAGTTGCCAGCACTAATTTCTGCTTGGCCTCAAAGGGCATCGTCATTGCTCTGTTTTCCTCAGTGTGACTGGGACCTGTTTCCTCTGTGTCTCTTTAATCCAACTGGAAGGTTAAGGACTAATATCTTCCTGCTTCCTCCATCTCAAATCTTTCACTTCCCAGGTTCTCTTTCAAATTCTTGGGGTCCACAAATCCATATCCCAAAGGAGAATTTTCTCTTCTGTCTTTCTGTTGCTGTGCCAACCAGCATAGCTGCAGAGATGACTGATATCCCAGTAATGGAAAAACTGTGTTTCCTTCTATATTTGTGTGTGTGTACTTGTGTTTGCACAGCTGTGTGCACTGGGAAAAGTTTGTGTGTGTGCAGGTAAAAGCCAGGAGTGCAGGTAGACACCTGGGAGTGCAGCAGCAGAAGAGTTTGTGTGCAAGTGGGTGTATGCAAACTATGTGTGTGTATCTATGGAGCTGGTCCCAGCTTAGAAATGTGTGTGTGAGCCAAGAAATTGGAAAATGGATATTTGCAGATCTCTACATTTACTGGCACAGCAGCTGTACTGTGATTAGGAGGTGAGGGTGATAAATGGGACAGGGTCCTGGTAAGTTATAAATATGCTTAGGGTAACAGTGGGGAGGCAGAGACCTGTGCAGGCTGGTGTCTGCCAAAGGGACTGCTGGTCCACAACTGTGCTTCACTTACAGTGGAGCCTGTTGAGGAAGGAGCTGCTTGTGCATGCGGAGCAGGAGGACGGCTGTGCTGCAGGGCTGTGCCTGCCCCTGGGGACCAGTGACAGCTCAGGGCACATGGTTTGTGCCACAGCCAGCGTGCATAAGCCCAGTGGGCAATCAGAGGCCACCAGTCTGGTGGCTGCCTCTGCCTGCTCCTTCCCAGACTCTGCTCTGACCAGACATGTCTTTTGCCCACAGAGTCAGATGGCAGGACATAGTCTTAATTTATTTAAAATGGTAAGCCCATTTCTAGAAGCTGCACTCATCCACAGTGCAGCATCTCAGTGGGTGGGGATGTTCTCTGCAAACTACAGCCATTTTCACTCAGGCAGGTCCCTGTGTTTGCACCGTGGCAGAGCTGTGCTTCTCTTCCAGACACCAGCACCAGGGGAAGGGTGGCTGCAGGACACCTTTGTGTCATTGCAGAGGCAGTCCTGGAGTCACAGATACTTCCAAGGAAAGCTGAGTCTGCCAAATCATCTGCAGCTTTGTTCTGCCAGGTCTCACCATGATACAGTGACCAGGTCAGACAGGGCAGGTCTCAAAAGCCTTCATATTTTTTTTCTCCCAGCAGAAACTCTTGCTGCCAGCCTGATTTTACTTTTACAACAAACCCCAAATAAGCCCAGAGAGTTTTACTCTTTTCTTGTGCAGACAGGGGCAGAGATTAAAGCTCCAATCTAAATAATCTAATTCCAGAGATAATCCTTTCACTCTCATCTCCAATTTGGTACCAGGGAGGCTTCCAGAGAGCTCTACATGGCAGGGCACAGCCTGTCCCCTCTGGGCACCTGAGCCCTGTAGCCCCATGCTGTTCAGGAGGTGGTCTAAGCAGCTGGCTTACGATGACTTCTTAGATGCCTCATTAGCCAGGAGGTCTGCTACTGACACATGTCTCTGTTGCTCCTTTTGGACATCCCAAATCCCAATCCCATTTTACAGCAGGAAATGGCTGATACCCAAAACCTGTGCCCCACGTCGCTTGTGAATGATCAGGGCTGTAGGTAGACCAGGCAGGACTGATCCAATGACTGAGTCATTTTGGCACAGCTGCCAGGGGACAGGGAGAGATCAAGGGATTGAGAAGACAACTCTGAGCCTTTCACTTGTAGGTTAGTGGTGTAAATCCAGCCTGCATCCAGGGACTGACTGATGGCTCAGTGGATTAGTAACAGGATAGAGCCTTTGACATCTGGGGCACAAGCTGGCATCAAGTTGCTGGTGCCTGCAAGTATTGATTTGGGGCAGCAGTGTAGGACATCACGGGCACAGGCCACACAGCATGCCTGCTGTCCTCTGCCAGGGACCGTGGCCAGCCCATGATCCAGGGCTCCTGCCCCTGGATGAGCACAGTCACTGTCCCTGCTCATTGACTGCTGCTCAGTTAATCCCTCTTGCTTCACGATAGGCTGCTGATTCTTGGGAAATGATCACCCAGGCTAGTTACTAGAAGATGCTCTTCCCAGAGAGGTAGAGGAGGTATTGCAATGCTCAGTGCCTTGCCCTCTCAAAAGGCTGAGTCCTCGGAGGAGAAAGAGAGGGCTTTTCCCCTCTGTTCAAGGAGGGCAACTCTTCCTTTTCATGGAAATGTTGCTGATATGTGCCTGTGAGCTCCCTGTGAATCTCCCTTCAGCTGAGGGACCTGTCTTGGTCATATCTAAACGTTATCTAGTAAATCCCTTCATGTCAGAATTCCTGCTGATGGGCACCTCATGTCTGGGCTGAGCAGTTTGATGGTGGGTTTGCAATGACACCCCAGTCACCGGCTGCGCGGTGCCATTTTGTGTGTGTGGGAGACCCCTGAAAGCCCCGCTGAACCGGAGGGCAGTGGAGCCACCTGCCTCAGCCCACTTGGGCCATGCACGGCACTCAGTAGGACCCCTGCTGCCCTGGAGGGTTTCGGGACTGGAAATACAAGGATTCATACCCTTTGCTGTCTGTAACCTCTGCCCCAGCCATCCCTCTGCCTGCCGATGATTTACTCCATCCCTCTTCCCACTTCACTTTCATAGCTTGTGGCAGTCACCTGGTGACACACAAAGTGTTTATGTGCTTTGAAGTTGTGCTCCTGACCCGAGCGCATTGCAGTTTAATCTGAGAGATTAGAGAGGATCGTCTGTAATCAGTACAAATGAGCTCTAACGAGGCCTCCCTTGGCCTCACCAACTGGACAGCATTGTCCTGGCCACGGCTGCCTGCACTCCTTTGGTAACAGAACTTGGGGGACACCCAACAGGTCACAAACACAGCAGGGATATGGCAGATTAGCCTGGATTTTATCAGATGCTGCCAGGGCTGGAGTCTGTAGCACTGAGATGATTTGCCAGGAACCAGCGTGAGGCGGCTGAATCTGGAGAGGTGCTAAGCGTGCGCGTTTCATTCTACTTTTCTGGATGCTGTTTCCTAAGGCACCTTGTAGCTTCAGGAACCCCTTCCTGGCTGCAGTGCTGGTGTGGGAGCACAGCAGTGCCATGTCTGCCCTGGTCTAGTTGTATCACAAGACCAAGAGCTGATGTGACAGCAGCAGTAACATGTTCTAGGGCACACTCTGGCCTGGAGAGAATAGGCTGGGGAGCAGGGGGTAGGTGGTTACACCACCCCCCCAAAACAGTTCACTTCTCCAAGGCTGTGGCTGGTTAAGAGGCCCCCAAGTGCATTACAAAAGCAACAAACCCATTTAATTCTCAATCTGCAGCACCAAGTCTTTATTTCCAAAAGTAAATGCTTTGTAGCAGACTCAAATTAATAAAACATCACTGGGACTCAGGAGCAGCCGCTGCTAATGCAGCCGGTGCCTGCAGCACAGCCCCGAGGCCTGACCGGTGTCTGACGCCTCGAGAAGCACCGCGATCAGACAGAAGGGCAAACACAGATGCGAACACTGCCTTATTTGCTCCCCCGCCGTGTAGGGGCTGAGTTTCGTTCAACCTCCATCTGGGATGTCTCACTCCAGCCCTCCTAAGATAAGACCTTGCCAAGGGCCTCCAGAAAAAAACCATGATCTTACATTCTCCTATAAAGAGCAGCTCAGGGAGCAGCCCCGCTGGCCGTGTCACGGTCACCTCCCCGCCTCCCCCTTCAGTGCCAGCTTTCCTTCTCATGCAGGTTATTGCAGTCCAAGGCCGCTTGGCTCCTTACCGGGCGGGCGGCAGCTGCCTTCCCCCATCCTCCGAGGCAGGGCCGAACGGGAGAGCCGGCGCGTTCTACCGGGGCCGCGAACCAGGCCCGGGGGCTGCTGTTCAGAGCGCAGCGGGCACGGAGCTCCCGGGACGCGGCGGCGGTACTCCCGTACTCCCGCTGACCCGCTCCGCTCCCGGCCCCTCCCCCGAGCGCTCCGGGCCCGCTCCGCGCCGCCCGTTGCCCCGGCAACCCGCCGGCCGCGCTTCCCGCCGCCGCCCCGCCGTGCCCCGCGCTCCGCCGCGCTGGAGTCCCGCGATTGGCGGCGCGGAGGGGCGGGTTCTGCCCTGGCGGCGGGCGCTCGGGGCAGCTCGCCGGGCTGTCCCCGCTGCGGACACCGCTGGGAAGCCCCGTCCGTCTCTCCCGCTCCGTTCTGCGGGGCCGGTTCCCCCTCGTTCCCGCCCCGCGCCCCCGGCCCGCAGGGACCCGCTCCCGCCGCCAGCCCCACGCCGCTCAGCCCGGCCCGCCCGCCGCCACCGCCCATTGGCCCGCAGCCTTATGAATATGTAAATACACAGTGGTGGCCGCCCAATGGCGGGCGGGCAGTGATTTAATATTCGCGGTGCAGCGCGGGGATTGGCTGGTGCGTGCCCCGCCCCGGCAGCAGGGCAGGCCGCCCCCTGTCGGCGGCAGGAAGGGGCGGGCGCGGCGCTGGGAGCGCGACATGGTGGGCGCCGGTGTGCGCGGGGCGCCGCTGCTGCCGCCCGGGCTGCTGCTGCTGCCGCCTCTGCTGCTGCTGCTGCTGCGGGGCGCGGCGGGCGGCATCGCCGACAGCGTCGTCTGGGCCGTCAACGCGGGCGGCGATGCCCACGTGGACGTGAACGGCATCCACTTCCGCAAGGACCCGCTCGAGGGCCGCGTGGGCCGAGGTGAGGGCGGGGGGACGCGCGCGGGGGGGTTGCCGGCGGGGCTCTCCGCGGGGTCCCGCTCCGCCGGCGCGGTGTGGTCCCGCCGTGCCAGCGGGGTGCGGGACCCGCGTGCTGCCGGCCCGCGGCGGAGCAGGGGGGTGTTCCCGCAGCGCGGCGGGGGCTCCGCTCCTGCGGCCGCCCGGGGCCCGCGGGGAGCGCCCGCACTTGTCACCCGCGGGACCGCGGCCACCCCCGTCCTCCCACCGGGCCCAGCCGGGGCCGCATCCCCCGTCCCGCGGGACCGGGCCCTTAGAGGTGGCAGGGTGAGCCTTGCGGGATGAGCCCTGCGGGATGGTGTCCTCAGGCTGCGGGGTTGTGTAATGCCGTGGGGGGAAGTGGCTCCGCGCGGGCTCGGAATGGGATTTCGGCTGGAAAGGCTGCCAGCCTGGCCGCGTGCGGCCGCCGGGATCCTGGGATCCTTCTTTCTCCCGTTTTCCACTGAACAGCCCGGGTTCCACAGCAGGACCTGCCGGTTCGCTGCCAGCCCGCAGCAAGCACCTTGCAGTGAGAACACGCTTTGCCCGCCCTCCGCAGCCGGGTCCGGATCGCTGGCGGTGCGGGCTGGTGGTTGCAGCGTTCTGGTCCTGCTGGGCCTGGGTAGGGCGAAGGTGCAGCTGGCTGGTCTGCTCCATGCCCCAGTCCTGGCAGGGTGTTCAAGGGCAGGGATACAAGCAGAGGTAGAGGCAGATGGGATACCATCAGCTGCTCTAGCTACTGATCAGTGAAATCTTCATTCTACCAGTTAGGACAGGATGTAGAAGTGATACTGCACTTGGGTTACTTTTTCTTACTTCCTTTGAAACCACTCCAGATGTATGAATCTTGCACGTTTCTGATAATCGGTGCACCAAAACTTAGTTGATTCACATATATATAAAAAGTTAGCTGTGCTGAGCTGCTCTGCAGTCATTTTCAGGTGGAGTGTGGAGAAGATGTTGATTTTTCAGTCTAACCTTTGCTGTTTCCATTAGGATGGTGAGGATTTTCCTGTGATATATGGCTGGAACTGCCATTGCTTACCCTGCATGAGTGCTATCCCAAATGGAGAGCCTTTTGGGCCTAGTGGATACAGGGGAGGTTACATATAAGTTCTAATATGGTTTGTTTTTCACACTCATGGAAGCTGGCACTGTAGTTGCACAATGTGCCTTGACTGCTGTAGGTCAGCTTCCCTTCATAAACTTCTCACATGTGTGACTTGAATGTCCTTGTGGACTGGAACAACTTATTTCTGAGTCGTGGAGAAAAAGGGTTTTTCTGAAGCACATTGTGACATGTTCTTCCTCTGGGGAAAGCCTGTGGTGTCTCCTCTGCACAGCAGGCTGTTGCAGTAATTCTGCTTCAGCCGGTGGTGCCAGGCACAGTGAAGACTTTACCCCTTTGAGCTCTCAGCTGCATTTCCCTCAATGGCTTTTTATTGCACCATTGTTCGTTTGCTCTGGATCCCTCTGTGTTGATAGGCATGTAATGGCTTCAGCAGAAATATATGGCTGACTGGGAGGAAATGACCTAGGGATAGTAATTCTGGGCTGTCCTGCTTCTGGGCAAATTAACACCTTTTTTTTTTCAAGGCTCAGTTCAGCCGCTGTGCCCTGAAGGACTGAACGTGCTGATGGCAATTACAGAATTAGGCAGGTGCCAGGCGTAGTTGAGTTACAGCTTGATGGGCACTGCTTGCTCCCGGTGAGCACCCAGCCTGCTGTAAAACCCAGCTCGCCTCCACAGCTCTGTCAGCAGGGCTCTGACACGCAGGTGACAGGTCTTCCTCTCCAGTTACCTTCTTGGCTATTAAAGGACTTGCTTCCGGTGCAGGCTTTCCTCTAATAGAAACTGACTTCTGTGGAGTCCTTGGTTCGCTGTCACTGTAATCTGTAGCTGGCCAGAAATACCTGTGTGGGAGGACAGGTTAAACTTTTCACCCTCTGTATTTCTGGTGATTAGAGTGTTCAGTCCTTGCGCCCAGGTTCGAGTGGTAAAGAGAAGCGGACGATCGCCTGAACAGCTCTGTGTGAAACAGGAGACTAAGAACGGGCATTAATTTCCTCTCACTCGTTTGCATTGGCTCCGTCTTTGGCAACGTGCTCTGGGTTAGTAGTTCTCGCTTTGTCTTGGCCAGTGCAGTGTCTGTTCCCATGGAAATGGGGGTGGAAGTGGTAAGTGTCAGCAGAGAACTTCGTCTGGATCAACTTCTCCTGCCTCAGGTGCCAGTGGGCAGATGGTGTCCACAGTCTTCCCTCCTGCCCCTGCTTCACTGGGGAGTCACTGGGTTTGCAGCTCTGGAGGCATTGCATCAGTTTGCATTTGTACAGTAACCCTGACACAATAAAATGCCAAGTTGAGTTAAAATCTTCTGGGGGCTGCTCTAGACGTGGTGAAACAATGAGTGAGAAGAGGCAAATTTTATGATTTCTGTTATTTTGTCAGTTATTGTCCTGCTTAGGAACGTTGTTTGGGCCCTTCTTGGGGGGCTGTTCAGGTGGCTGCAGACAGCACCCATTTCGGCTGGGTGGCTCTCAGAACAGCAGCTGATGGAGCTCTTGGTGCTCTTGAAACCCTTGTGTATCTTGCTTCCTTTTTCCTGTGTTCAGGCTGACAGTGTTGCGGGGCTGTGATGAGAAGAAAGGGTGTTGTAACATGCCCAATGCTTTTCACACTTCTGCCATCCCCTAGGTTTTCACTTGAGGGGGATGAGTTTCTAAAACCTGATGCCATCAACTGCTCCCTTCAAATCTGTTGTATCAATGAGTCAAGTCAGTCCTGTGCCCACTGTTTTTGTTTTCTACTCAAGAGTTTGGGATTTGAAAATACCATAAAAATATTCTAGGTGTTTTTCCTCTTAGGAACAAGATTCAGTGGCCAAGTCCTTTGGTTTTGTGCACTGCCTGTGAAACAGGCTCTTCTTTCTGAACCGGTGCAAGTGAGTTTACTTTGTCTGGACTGCAGCAGGTGCAGATCTGTTTTCCTATGGGGCCGGTGTTCCGGGGCTTTGGCTCCCTCTGCTTCTGCTCCAGTAGTGCCGCCACCTGGTCAGAGCAAGGAGGGGAGACAGGTCTGACAAGGATGCAAGTACCACTTGTAGACTTAAGCACTTCAAGAGTATATAAGGTGTCTCTACCATGTGCCTCAGAAAATAACCCCTCTCACTCTTTTGTGCTTGAAACCCAGCTTCTGACTACGGGATGAAGCTGCCAATCCTGCGGTCCAACGCGGAAGACCAGATTCTGTACCAGACCGAGCGCTACAACGAGGAAACCTTTGGCTATGAAGTTCCCATCAAAGAGGAGGGTGACTATGTGCTGGTGTTGAAGTTTGCAGAGGTCTACTTTGCACAGTCTCAACAGAAGGTAAGCAACAGCTCCTGTGTGTCTCTGATGCGAGTTCCTGGCTGTGGCTGTGTGAGCTCAGGTTGCCTCTGCTGCTTTGCATGCTGGGGGAAGGAGTGAAGTAAGGCACTGATGGTTAACTTAGATCCTAGAGCTCTCAGGGGCTCTGAAACTTTAGAGCTCTCTCCCACATTTCAGCTATACAGTCAGACTGGAAAACTGCATTTCAGAGCATTCAAAAAACCATGTCCAACTAAACATAACTAGCAATAGAGTTTCACAACCTGTTTAAGCTGTGCTGGCTTTGAAGAGTTTTTTTTACCTTTTTCCTGAACACTTGTTCCTACCGTGACAGCACGGTTGTGTTGGAGGAAGTATTGCACAGATTGAAGCAGGGAGGTGATCTGGAACCTACTCAAAACAATTTTTACGAATGAAATAAGACTTGATACTGGTTCAGTCTGATCCTGAAAGCACAGAATTAAATTCACCCTCTTTATTGCTCTTGTCCACTTTTGAAATACCCCTTGTACAGAGGTGGAAACAGAAGCACAGAGAAGTCAAAGCCCTCTGATAAATTGGGGTAGGAGTGGTTTGTGTAATAGCTTGTCTTTCCCCTGACTCCATCAGGTTCTTTAGAGCTGATCTCCTTAAGCACTGTGCTGCCTTCCTGCCAGAGAGGTATTTCAGGGAACAGAACTGGTGGGGCTGGCTTACAGAACGGATGCAAAAAGCAGCCTCAGATTAAACTGAAGGGCTGAGGCATCTTTGGTTCCTCTTCCTTGATGTGGTTCTGCTGGGATTCCCCAGGTGCTGAGTGAAGTTTGAGTCACTGCAGCCCTGAGGAGGACTTTCACTATGAATTCACAGATGTGGTTGGCAGTTAAACATTTTACCTCCTTCAGACCCTGTGTTCTTCACCAGCTTGTTTCCTCTTCTCTGTTCTGCTGCAGGCTGTTAGTTAGAAATGGCTTCACTCCCTAGGGTGTGGTGTGCCACAGCCACCCTGGGGTGGTAGGAGCAGGTCCTCAGACAGGAGGTGGAAAGAAAGTTGTGAAAGAAAAGCATGAATAAACCAGAATAAAATTGTTCTGTCCTCAGTTCACAACAGCAGATGTAAGGGATATTTTAAAAGGAGGAAGCAGGTTTCAGGGTGTTTGAAAGCAATGTTAATGCTTCAGTGTCTCTAACCTGGCTGCTTTGGGCTCTGAATCCTTCCCAAGGGAGTGGGGCAGTGCATGTTACAATGCTTTCAGGTCCTGGGTGCATAACAGAGACCTTTCCTGTTCTGTTCCAGTTTCAGCTGTCACGTGCTCGAATCTGTTCTGACTCTCTGTCATTTCTTTTATCCTGAAGGTATTTGATGTTCGCTTGAATGGCCACGTGGTGGTGAAAGACTTGGACATTTTTGACAGAGTTGGACACAGCACAGCTCACGATGAGATCATTCCCATGAGTATCAAAAAGGGGAAACTGAGTGTCCAGGGGGAGGTTTCCACGTTCACGGGGAAGCTCCACATTGAGTTTGTAAAGGTAATAACGCTTTGCAGGGCAGAGCCCTGATCTTCCCTTTCCCCTTGTTCCCCAGCTGTGTGGTGCAGCTGTGTGCTGGAGGAGAGACCATCCCTTGCCTCAGAGCTGCAGCACTGACTGCTGCCTTTGCTTTCTCTAGGGCTACTATGACAATCCAAAAATCTGTGCCCTATACATCCTGCAAGGAACAGTGGAAGGTAAGCACAGTTTTCGAGCCAGAAGGCTCTTCCCCCTTGGAGAGCAGCCTGTTGCTTCTCAGACTATGAGATCATAGCTCTTGCTGACCCACATCTGCCAAAATTGTTTCTCTCTCAGCAAGTTCCCACAGAGTGCAGTTGCAGAGTGAAGTAGGTGTGTAATGTCCTCGTTCTCCTCCAAGTCACAAATCGTGTCATTTTGGAACGAGAAAAATCAGTTTGTTTTGGAACTTCCTGTGTATGGGGAAGAGAAGGGAACACATCTGGTCAGTCTCAGCTTATAGCTGCAGATACATTCCCTCTGGCGTTGGATATCAGCAGCAGCCTTGCAGACAAGTCATTTACAGAGTTCTTTTAGCTAGTAGTTAAGTGTTTCTTACCTGGAGCTTTGTTTTGCCTTCTCAGCTCGAGGACAAGGCAGTGTTTTCTTTCCAGGTATCAGATCCTCTGGATAGCAGTGGGGAGAGCTAGAAAAGTTCTCGTTCTTTCATCACCCTCTTTGTAAGTGTGCTGGACTGGGAGCCCCTCTGGCTCCCGAACAGGGGGCGTTTAGGGCCCCTTTCACCAAACCATCACTTTGCTTTACTGTTACTCAGAGATTTCCAGGTGCTGCTGAAGATTTGGTGAGAACCTTGTGGCCAGGTGGCACTTTGCTGTGTGGGGGACCTGCAGTTCAGGCCCCAGGCTCAGAGGGCTGGATTTGAGTGGGGTAGGACCATGCTGCTCTGGTAGCTCTGGGGTTGGGGGGTGCAATGATGTGGGGTAGGACTGTTCATAGAAAGGGTTTCCCATTTCCTGTTTGCACCTGTATCTGCTGGTCCTGCAGGCAGCAGATGCTTGTTCTTGCTTCTTCCCTGAGCAGCAGCAGTGTCTGACTGTGTGCTCTAAGTGTGCTTTTGTGCATTAACTTCTCTGTGTGACACCTGGATGGGGTGGAAGGATGTAGTTGTTTTTGCAGACTGGCTCTTTGGATGCTCTTACCTCACAGAGGAAAGAAACAGTGGTGTGATCCTCTGTGAGGGAGGATGTTCCTGTCTTCTGGGGTGTCCTGGTTGTGGTTTCAGTGTGGTGTCAGGTGCCCTCTTGCCTGACCATTCGTGTTGGATCAGGGAGAGGGGAAGGAAGGGAGTGTCTCCAGTGATCTCCCAATTCACATCCTGCCTCACTGCAACCTTTTGTCTTGTCCAACAGATGTCCCAAAGCTGCAGCCGCACCCCGGTCTGGAGAAAAAAGAGGAGGATGATGACGAAGATGAGTATGATGATGGCTCCAGTGTCAAAAAACAGGCAAATAAGAACCGGGTTCAGTCAGGCCCACGCACACCAAACCCCTATGCCTCGGACAACAGCAGCCTCATGTTTCCTATACTGGTGGCCTTTGGTGTCTTCATTCCTACCCTCTTCTGCCTCTGCCGGTTGTGAGAGCAGGCCCCACAGTGCATCAGCCCAGGGGCTGGGAGGGAAGGAGTTGGACCAAACACAGTTGCTTTCAATTTCTCCATATTGTTCATAATTTAAGGAAAAAAAAAAAAGAAAAAAAAGGTGATTCATTTGGAATGAATAGCAATGAATAGCAGGTCCAGGTAAGAGGGAGCTTACCTTCCCCCTACCAGCAAGCAGCAAGGCCCTCGCCTTCCCCTTCGCACCATGTGCAGGCTCCAATTCTCCCTGGGGCATCCAAGAGTGAACTGAGTCCTGGCTGGCTGTGTGTTGGGCTGTTGAAAGCTGATGCTGCCAGTCCTGGGCCACTTCCCACACTGAGGGATAGCAATGTGCTGCGAGATCTCTGCCTTTACTAGGTGGAATACGGTTCCTTAATCAGGGAAGTAGCTCTTAAAACAAGGCCTGGGCACACGTCCAGGAGTGTGGAATTGTTGTGGTGCTGTTGGGTGTCAAACGACTATGGAGGACAGAGCCTGGCACGATGTATGGTACTCACCTGCCTGAAGACCCCAAGACTCCAGCTCTCTGCCCAGCCTCCGTGGAGACAGTCCCCTCCAAGGACTGTGAGCTGTGCCAGGAGCAGAGGGATTTATCAGGCCTGATTTGCTGCACCAGTTGGGAGAGACTTTCCTAGTTTGGCAGTTGCAATGTTTGTTCCATCGCAGAGGGATTCTGCTGTAGCCTGCGAGAGGCTGACGTTGTTGGCGTCTGATCAGATGCACTTGTTTTCTGTATTGATTATTGATTATGGCTTTTGTTTCCTTTAATATCCTTTTATTTTCGAAGGTTTTGTTTCAAGCCCAGTTCCTTGTTTTGCCCTTTCTAGCAAACAACCTCTTCTTTGGAAGAAGCTGAAAATCAGATGACCTAGAGAGGAACCTGGTCAGGGACTTATTCCTTGACCTTCCTGCGGGTTAGCTCCCTTCTCCATGACTCTGAACAACCTGTGCTGCAGGACAGAGCAGAGCAACCTGGTGGATGCTCCCTGTGAGCTCTCATTCCCTGTGTAGGGATCAGGCCTCCCTGCAGCAGTGAGAGCCTGGTCAGTGTTTACAGTGAGCTTGGCCTTGTGCATGTCCAGGCAGTGTAGCAAAGGGGCTGATGTCCAGCATTTCAGTCCTGGAGAGCAAGGTGGTTTGTTGCCATCCAGAGATCTGAAAGTGAGCAGAACACTGGAGAAAAGGTCACCTGCTTTCCCCAGGGATATTCCTGCAAGAGGCTTTTGTTTCCACATGGAGAGCCTGTGCCTGCCTGACAGAGGCTGAGCAAAGTGAAAGCTGCTGCTGCTCCTGCTGATCCAGAGCTGCAGGCCCCGAGGAGCTGCCTTCCCATGGTTTTGGCCTCCAACATGTTGAACATTTCTGGCTGGCAGGAGGAGATGTTCTGGCTGGAACAGGATCTGTCCCAGGCAGGATCAGGTCCTTGTGGGTCAGCTTGGATGCTGCAGAGCTCACAGAACGCTTTACCTCACGCTCTCTCCATTGTCCTCAGAAGTGTTCTGTCTTTCCCTGGAGCAGTGGCACTGAGCAGTGACCTCCACGCTGCTCTGCCTCTCAGGGCTTGCATTTTCCCAGCAGTTGTTCCTGGGTTTGATCCCCTGCGGTGGCTCAGCCTTTGTTTGAGCTGAGCAGGGTCAGCCAAATTGTGTTGTTTCTGGAAGGGGACCTGGAGGAGCAGCCTTTTCTGTTCTGCTGGGCCCAGGCAGCTGAAGCCTTCGCTTCCTCCTCACCCTCGAGCTGTGACAGGAGCTGTCAGCTCAGGGGCTTCAGGCTGAGAACTGGGGGAGGTGACAAAGTGCTGCTCTCTGCATCAGTGCCACTGAACCTTTTCTGATCACATACATCACTGCTATAGGCCTGACCCTAATTCTGTCTCTGTGAACTAAAAAGCAAGCAGGATCTTAATTATCTTCTCTCCAACTGCATAAATGTCTACAGCCAGTTTGGGAGAATCAAGTGTCCCTGCCCCAGTAAGAGGGGAAGGCAGGCTTTAAGTAGAGCAAATCTTAAAGAACAAACCTTAGGATGAAAAGGTGGTAAGCTTGAAGTGTTCTGCTTCATCTTCTAGCTGCTGTTAAAATCCTACTACTTATAAAACTCATAAAATACAAGCTCTGTTTTGTTCGGTGACAGTGCCTGCAGGGATTCTCCAGCATTTTTGGGATGCTCTAACTGGAGCACAGAGACATTTAGATCTTTATCAGTTTTGAGAAGCATGAACTGCGCTGATTTGTTAAGCAAAGAACCCGGAGTTGAAAACAGGCGTCTCGGTAAGGAGCTGCTCTCCTCCAGGCCTTTTGGGTTGCATTTTATTTGAGCATCCTTGCAGCAAGGAATCGCTCGGCTTCTTGTGGCTCAGCCAGTAATCTCTGCACCTTGCCTGGCATGGGAAAAGGGGTGTGCATTTAGATGTGCAAAAGTTGGAGACAAGTCTTCTAGGGTAGTTTATCCCAGCCTTTCCCGGCAGCCAGGGCATCCATTTGGTGCCATCGGCTGCCCCAGGGCAGAGCTGTGCAGTGTGATGTTGTGTTCCAGTTGCTCAGTTTAAATGAATCTGTCTTGTTTGAATAAGAATAGGGAGGAGGAATAGTTCATGGCTTCAATTTAGTTGTTTTGACTCTGGTTTTATGCATCTTTGTCACTACAAAGCTGGTGTCTGGGTGGTTCCTGACCCTGTTAAGGTGCTATGAGCAGTTTCCTTGTTGATCCATCCCCTCCTGGCAGGTTTGCCTTGAAGGAGCCTTCAAACGAAGCGTGTGGGAGCACAGAGGGTGGTAGAGGGTGGCCAGTCGGCACCTTCCTGGGAATGGTGTACTCTGGCTCCCATTGCCATCTCTGTCTAGTATCTGCAAGCCAGATAAATGGGTCCTGAGCATGGAAAGAAAAAGTTTGGGCTGTCTGTAGCTTTCCAGAACGGGTGTTTGAGGGAATATCTGAGACACAGTTTAAGTGAGGCAGGTTAGGGACAAGCCTGTTTGAGCTGATTCCTCCCACCAGCAGCAGGCACGTGGAGCACAGCAGTGTGGGGAGCTGGGTCAGAACAGACCTGGCTTGATTCATGTTGTGTAGAGAGGGGCAGATACGGCAATTTTAATAAAGCTTGCACTTAAAGGGCAAATGACACCTTTGATCATGTTTGGGGCCTGGATGCAGTCTCAGCGTGGTGGTTTCAAAGCCTTTTTTAATTGCCCCATCAGCCCCTCCTTTAAGCCAGGACCTTTTCCCTTTTGTGTGTGTAACTAAACATCTCTGACCCTTTTGAGTGTCCCAGGTGGCAGTGAGCAGAAACCCAAATGAATTCCCTTCTCTTTTTTGTGCCTTTGTCTCAGGCTTTGAATAAAAGTCTATTTGAAGGAGCTTCTTTTTTTTTTAAGGAGCTTCTGAGTTTTTTCTTTTTCCCCAAGGGACAGACATTCCCTGCCCTTGAGATCAGCTGGGGTCTGTCTCCCTGTCCCTGGATGCCACCTCTGGAGGTCACAGCTGAAGCAGAGAACTGTGAGCGAATATCTTTGTTTCCAGCCCTTGAGGTCAATGGAAGAAAAGCCTAACAAGGGATAGAAGAACTGGAAGAGCTCCTTCAGGTCCCAGAAATCTCCTGAAGGCAGGATGGAGAACTTGCAGACAGTCTGGTGCCTGTGTGTCTGTGCAGTTCAGAGCTGAGTGAGTCACGGCTGGGTCCTGGTTCTTACAACTTCTGGGTGCAGGGGGAGGCTTGGGGGGTCCTGCACCCCAGATTTACTTGCTGAGGTCTTGCCCTGTGCTGTTCAGGTCTGAACAGAGAGCAGGGACTTGTGCTTTGTCCCTTGGCCTTCCCTAAGTTGAAATGGGATTGCAAGAGCCAGGGAAGTGTCTTGATATGGGGACTTTGGGCTGGACAGGCCTGTTGCTGATAGAAAACAGCAGGAGGAGGGAGAGGACCATCAGAGCAGGTTTAGCCCTTGTGAGACAGATACTGAGCAGCTGCAAAGTACCAAATGTTTCAGGCTCTGTTTGGTGCTCAAATGTGGGAGAGATCCGTCTGCTTCTTGCTCTTACGGTGAGGAGGGAAATACCCTTGCTGAGAATCCCAGGGAAATAGGAGCTGGGCCAGCACTGAGCTAATTTACCTACTGGCACTTGTGCATCTCCACAACAAATGCCAAAGCCTAATACAATTCAAGGATGCCATTTTACCGTCGGCCTGGTTCCACCAGTCTGTCCTCACCTGCTGGTCCCAAACAGGCTCACACGAGTGTTCTCAAACGGCACAAACACCCCAGGCTGGAGCTGGGAGGGCTCAGAATCGTGAGCATGACTGGGCCTCCTGTGCTGCACCTCTGCTTCGCGCTGCCCAGCGGGTCTGGGGCACGTGCGCTCACCTTGGATCCAAAGGATTTGTCCCAGGAGTGTAGTAGCATTGGAAGGTGCTGGGCTGGATGGGAGAGGTGAAAGCAGGTCCATGTCTTCCGGGACTCTGGCTTGCTCAGAGTTTATTGCTGTATATTAAATACTATTTTTGAAGATTGAGGGGAAGATGAGGGAGGGGGAGGGATGTGACGATGCTGTCTCCAGTCTGATCAGTGGGATGCTACTGCAGGTTATTGATAGGTTTTGATTTTTTTTTTCTGTTTTGTTTTGTTTGTTTCTCAAAAAGTGCTTTATTTAAAAAAAAAAATCAACAAAACATGCTTTCCTCCCTCCTAGAAACAGTGCTGGCTGATTACAAAATGTGAATAATCTTTTGGAAACATCAGAGGTCTCTGCTAAAGAGTTTGTGTGATGGAGATTTGAAGGCAAGGGGCAAAGTACAGCTTGAACCAGTTTTTAACTGGGGAGAGTGTGAATCCAGGAAATGCAGAATCCCTGCCCTGGAGTTGTTCCCAGTCACATGTAAGGGGGATGTGTTTTCCTGTGCTGCCATGGCTGTTCTGTCACACTGTGGCAGTGCCTGTGTTGGGGTGATGGAGCAAAGCAGTGGATGGAAACTTGCTGGCAAGTGAGGGCTTGAATTTTTTGTGGTTTCCTGTGGCACTTTGTGTCTTCAGAGCTTTTGGTAAAGCAGCCCCAGAGCCTGTGAGAGCAGAAGCAGGATTTGTGCTCGTGGCAGGAGGCAGTAGCCAGGACTGTGAGAGGTGACAGTGGTGTTTGGGTCCCATCAGTGCTGCACTTTTAGCACTGGCAGATGGTCCCACCACTCCATGGTGCCTGTCTGGGGATGTGTGGAAGTAACCCGTACCCTTGGCACTAAGGACACATCATGAACTACGTAAAGCTGCAGGTCTGAGAGTTACCTGTAAAGGCCAAAGCAGCATGGGGAGAGATCCCCATCTGTGTCTGTCACCAGGCTTTTAAAGGAGGATTTTTTTATTTTACTGTCCATTGCTTTGTGTTGTAACAACTTGCAGTGACATTTTTTTAGTTTGTTTTGCAGCGAGCTTGGGCCCTGGGTGAAAAGCACAGATACCTATTTCTGATTGCATCGGCTTTGCAGGGACTAGTTTGGGGGGAAAGATGGGTGTGGGGGTGGGTTATTTTATTTTTGGTACACGGTAGCAGTTTTATTTTTTAATTTCCCCAGGATGTTTGGTTGAGGGAATGTTCTGAAGTCTACTGTCTGGCAGTTTAACCAGCAGTGTGCTAAAGGAAAATAAACAAAATTATATTGTCACTTGGATGAGATGGTACCTCTTTTCTGGTGGTGGGGGCAGAGGAGCCCCCTCTGGTTTTTACACTCAGAGCCTCTCCCTGACACTGCCTCTGGCATAGCCCTGGTGTTGGCACAGCCCTGGTTTCTCTTGCCAGTAATTTTGGGCGATTAAGTGCAAGTTGAATGGTACAACATCCTGTTAAAAGTGCTGATGCAGACCTTGTTGCTTCCTGCTCAGGTCAGGAGCACCAGAGATGTAATCTGCCTTCTGGGCCTTTGCAAGCTGCCCCCATTTCAGCTTGAAACCACATCAGAGGTGGACAGGAGTGGCTGGAGCTGGAGCAGAGAGAAGGCAGCACCTTTGTGCTCTAGGTGCCTGATCTTGGGGTTCGAGGGGCTCTAGCCCCATGCAGAGCAGCTGCTCTTCCAGACAGCCTGGGTGTGTCTTTCCCAGGGCACAGGATGGAGGGAACAACCCCATGCAGTGAGGATTTAGGAGCATTGGCTGGGCAGGCTTTTGTGAAATAGCTTTCGCTTGGCAGTAGGAGGTGTGTGCTGCTCGCAAGCAGCAGCAAACATCACTAACCACTGCTCTAAATGTGCTTCTGGTCATCAGGAGTGTGTTCAGTGTTGGCTGGAGACTGAAAAGAGGATGCAGATGTTTCTTGCTCTTGCCCCAGTTCCCCGAAGGGCTGGAGATGACTCTTAGCAGCTCTTGTGTGCCTGCTGGGAGCTGGTGGGCTGCCCCTCTTTGGGAGGAAATGCATCCTTTGCTCCGTGTGATGCTCCTGTGAGTCACTCCAAGTGGGACCTCCCCAGTCCCTCCCCCCAGGCTCAGGACACTCGTCCGGGGTCTGCCGCTGTCCCCTCCGGTGCGTGCAGTGGCACAGCCGGGAGTCTCCTGACCCAGGAGAGCCTGTCCCTGCCCCACTCCCCAGGGACGGGCAGCAGGGGGTGTCACTCCATGGCATCCCCGTCCTGACACCGTGCCGGCCCCCCGAAAAGTGCCCTAAGCAGACCGTCCCATACCCCCAGCGGGGCTCTCGGGGGACACGCGCTCTCTGTGAGCACCGGCCGTGCTTTCATCACTGGGGTGATGCCAGCGAGCGGTGATGCCCGGCTCCCCAGGCAGGGGCGGGGCGGGGGCTGGCCGCGGGCAGCGGGGCAGCTGGAGGGGGGCTGGTTTTGTTTGTTTCTTGTGTTTTTCCCCTCAGGTAACTCCCCTTCCCCTCGGGCCCGTGCCGGTGCCGCGGCTCTCGGGTCACCCATCCGGGCGCGGCCGCGCCGGGCCCTGCTGAGCTTCGGGCGCGGCGTTGCCGGGCAACGGCCGCTGTGCCCCGCCCCGCCCGCGCTCCCATAGCTACCGAGGCGGGCGGCGGCCATCTTGGCGGCGGCCATGAGCGGCTCCAGGGCGCGGGCGGCGGCGGCGGCGGCGGGGCCGGACAAGAAGCCGCCGCCGGGATCCGCGGGGCCGCTGAGCCGCCTGCGGGGCCGCCGCGGATCGGCCGACGCTGCGCCGCGGCCGCCCTGGACCGAGTCCGAGTTGCTGGCGCTGGAGACCGTCCGGCCCGAGCACGTCCTGGGGCTGTGCCGGGTGACGGAGAGTGAGTGCGGGCTGGGCCTGGTGCGGGCTCTGCGGGGGCTCTGCGGGACGGGCCCCGGGCGGGAGCGGCGGGGCCCTCGGGAAGCGGCGGGCAGGGAGCGGTCGGGTGGCGGTGGCCGCAGTGGCGCGAGGTGCGCCCGCCGGCAGCTTCCTTACAACTTCCAGAAAGTTTGGGGGTTTGGGGATTTTTTTTGTTGTTGTTTTGTTTTGTTTTGTTTTGTCTTTGTTTTCTGCTGGGATGCTGATCTTTGCTTTTCTCTCCCGATCCTTTCCCTTTCTCGCTCCGCTACCTGGCACCTACCGTGCCTTTGTTTCTTCTGTCCTTAACTTTGTCTTGCTTTCGTGAAGCTTCTGCGAAACAATGATCCCCTTAACGGGCTGGGGGTAGCAAAAAAAAAAGGAAATTCATTTGGTAAGTGATAGGGGGTATTTTGAAATATTACTATATGTTTTCTCTCTCTTCTAGATTATTTATGCAAACCTGAGGACAACATTTACAACATTGACTTCACCAGGTTTAAGATCCGGGACCTTGAAACTGGAACAGTGTTGTTTGAAATTGCAAAGCCGTCTGCTTCAGGTACGTGCAGGGACAGTAGAGACACAGAGAGCTGAGAAGTTGCGATGCAGGACCCCTGCAAGCCAAGCAGAAAGGTCCTTTGATATCTCCTGGTGACTAAATTCCTTGCCTTTAAGCATAGCACTGAGTTTATCTCTGCTGAGAAACTTGTAAAACTGTGAAGTGATTACCATGAGATGGGGGAGTCCTATCAGCTGCAAATCTTTCCTTTTTTGGCTTGTTATGGTAGAGAGTTGGTTTCATGTGCTTTCATGTGATGGGGTATATCCTGTGAGATCAGCTCTGAAGCCACCAAATACCAACTGTCACTGCAAAGCTTTTAGTTTTTTTACTTAGGGCCAGTATAAGAATCAGACCAGTTATTAAGTGTGTTTACATTTGGTGCCTAAGCGGTAGACCAGCCTGTGCTGATACACCTGCTGGCCGTTATCACCTGACATGGACACAGTGTCAGCAGAGTAACTCCGAGCTGGTGTTTTCCAGAGCACGAGGAGGAGGATGAGGAGGACAGCAGTGAACTGGACGCGAGTGCAGGTCGCTTTGTTCGGTACCAGTTCACCCCAGCGTTCCTCCGGCTTCGGACCGTTGGTGCAACGTGAGTATGGGTTCATGGAATGAAGGGAGAGTCGGGTGTTCACAGTGTCACTTGACAGGTTATAACAAAACTGTGTCAAAGAACAGAGAGAGCCCATCTTACACTACAAATATCAATGGCTCTCTTTCTGGAATGATCTGTTGCACACTTGTGTAGCCTGGGTTCCAAGGCTCTGTTCTTCCCAGTAGGAAGAGAGGTATATCATCCTCACTGTTTTTTCCTGCTTTCTGCGTGCAGAGTGGAATTCACAGTGGGAGAGAAGCCAGTGTCAAACTTCCGAATGATTGAGAGGCATTACTTCCGAGATCGTTTGCTGAAGAACTTTGACTTTGATTTTGGCTTCTGCATCCCCAGTAGCAGGAACACATGTGAACACATTTATGAATTCCCTCAGCTCTCAGAAGACCTCAGTAAGTACCTCCTTTGCCACGCAGAGTGGTGTTTTGTTTGTGTGCATCTGCTCATTTTCTCCCTCTCTCTACTTGTGAAAGAAGTTGTGACTGGGATGGAGGCGACAGGAACAAACAGATACAGGTTCCTGGTTTAGGCAGTGTGTAATCTTGTCTGAATTACAGATTTGTGCTGCAAAGCCTCCTCCTTTGAAAATGAAAGCCTGAGACAACCTGTGCTAAGTCACAGGCTGCGAGAACTGATCAGTCACAGGGCTGACACGCCTGATGCCTCGTAGTGTAGCCCAGAAGAAAACAAACCCCTGAGAAAGAGTTCTTTTGGTAGCCACCCATCTGCTTGTTAGGGCTTGAGCCTCCTGCTTTGGAACAGAACTGAGGGGTGTGTGTTTGAGCCTACTGAGATCTCTGCAAATACACATTGTGTGGGGTATGTTTGACCTCAGGGGGTGGATAGAGCAGGAGCACATGGGCCCTGCTGCGGCCGCCTGGCTGCAGGAGGAGACACAGGGTTTGTACCCTGCCTGTGTACGTGTGGGGAGTGCTCCTTCTGCTCACAGACGTGATCACTGCTCTGCTGCAGTCACAGCTCTGATGGTTTCCAAGGTCCTTTTGAGTAAAATTGCTTGATCCCCCTTTGTTTGCTTTTAACAGCACTTGTCTTGTGAATAGGAAGAAAGGGCAGGCCGGAGCCTTTGAAGTGTGCTCAGCAGCAGTTGGCTTCTCTCCCTTGGGTAGGGCAGAGCATCAGCCTGGTAAATGCAGTGGAGTGGCAGAGCCCTTTTTATCCTGACTGTGGCAGGCTGTTGAATGTAATGGAGCTTTCTCTTTACAGTCCGTCTGATGGTTGAAAACCCGTACGAGACACGCTCGGACAGCTTTTACTTTGTGGACAACAAGTTGATAATGCACAACAAGGCCGACTATGCTTACAATGGAGGACAGTAACCATTCTGGCTGCTGGATGCTGTGATGCCATTAACCATTCCAGATGTGCAGGAGCGGACTGGAGTTGCTGTCTCGTGCAACAAGGCTTCTTGCCAAACCTTTTCTACGTGCATGAGGCTGAGGACACGAAGCAAAGGCGAAGGCTCCTGAAGGAAATCTCCCTGCAACTCTTCTCTATCCGACACTCAAATGTATCCTGCCTCTCCTTCTCTGTTCCTGGCTACCTTCTGATACCCTGGTTAGGTCGTGGATCAGAGGCACAATTCTCGCTCTTAGTCTTTATAGTTAGGTTGCACTTTTAGTGCTTCTGATGCTTCACCTCTTGGGTGACTGTCCTCTCTGAAGAGGTCAGATTGTTTGTATTAAGCTTTTTCTTAGCCAGAAAAATCTTACCCCTTCAAGTAGCCAGTGATGACTGAAGAACAGATCTCTTCTCTAGTTGGATAGATCCTCTTTTTAGTGCACAGTGGTTTAGTTTGTAGCATGGCTGACATTGCTTTTTAGGGTGCATCCCGGTGTTCTGCAGTGAGAAAGATAAACTAAGGGACTAATTCAGCTTCTAAACATTGCAGGAATCTTCCATCTGCCTCTGGGGGCCTGAGCTGCCCCTGAGAACAGTTTAATCTGTGTTTTGCAAGAGATTTCACTAGAGATATGAGATAGGGGAAAAAGGTTTTATCACTCTGATAGCATTTCTCTTTGAGGTCTTGTGAGCAAATTGTTGCATGTGAGAGTTCAGTGGTCAGTCTTAGAGCTGAAGTTAATCTCACTATATTTACCATTTCTCCTGCTTCCCTTTGTGCAGGAATTCTGGCTAGTGCTACAGAATGTGTTGCTTTTTAGATGGACAGCACACTGTCAGCCTGGCTGGGGTGTAGGGGAGTGGGGCTTGGA